GATCACACAAGCTGGTGTGCTTCTTCCATGCGGGCTTTGTTGCTTCCCTGCTAGATGGCTGCTTGTTTAATGTCAAGCCTTTAAGACCCCAGACACTATATATATTTTTGACACTGTATTTTTAATAGCCAGGCACCATCAGCTTTCTTCACCACATTTGCTTATGCACTCATTTTTACTTCAGCAACTGTGTCAGGAAGGTGAACATCACAGAATGCCCAACCAGTCAGTTCTTAAATATTACTCACAATTCTCTCTAGGATGAGTGAAGGTGAACATTCTCAAAGGAGGTAGATGGTTAAGGAAGGGAGCAGGTGAAGCACTGGCATGTGGTGGGCAGTCTTTGTGGGAAAGGTGGCAATTGGGATGTTGGGAAGGAGGCAGGGCAGCCATGCACAGAGGTACAATGTGGGCAGGACAGAGAGGCTGTAGACCCAGCAGGAGTTGATATGGCGATTTTTATACTTTGATGCTTTTTGACATCTCCTATCAGAAATACGAGGAGGCCTGGTGGTGTAGTGGTTGGCGATGGGCATGGTCAGCAGTTCAAAACCACTCACAGCTCTGAGAGAGAAAAACTGGACTTTTTACTCCTGTAACAGTTGCAGCCTTGAAAACTGTCATCGACAGTTGTCATCAACTGGATGGCAGTGAGTTTGGTTTTTCCGTTCATCTGAAGTACGACCGTGCTCCTAGGCCACGCAGTGAGCCTCTGTTACTGGTTCTCCATCAGTATGATGCTGAATCTAAACCCAAACTTCTGGTTCTGGGGCAAGGCTTGAACCTGCCTCTTTTCGAGGTGAGGTTTCTCCAGGTCTTTTCACTGTTCCTCCTTTCTGAGCTCTCCCACACGGCTTCTCCAGAATTTCAGCCAGACTTGCAGAACACCCTGTGGGCAGTCCCCTGGCACCCATGAGCTCCTGGTGCAGGTTACTCATCTCTCCTGGGGGCAGTGGAGCTGGTGCGGTGGCAGTGGAGTTCCAAAGAGAGAGGGAACTGCCTTCTAATAGCAACACTCTGAGACCATCCTCAGGGGCTGGCGCTCCCTCCAGGGAAGACCTGGGAAAGGTAGAAAGTAGCACAGGCGTTCATAGTGACCATCAGAAAACGGAGCCGGCCCCACAGCAAGCACCTAAGGGCTTATCAAGACACAGTTCAATCCATACCCTGTCCCGAAGCCCATCATCTCGGGGTCCACACGCCAGGCCCAGTGCTCCCTGGGCTTCTGTGGGTACTTGCCTCATTGTGTTTGCCACACGGTTCTTGCTGTTGTTCATCCTATTGTCATGATGCCAAAGGTGCCAGGGGAGCCTTGGTGGCAAGATGGTTAAAGCACTCAGCTGGTAACCGAGGGGTCGGCGGTCTGAACCCACACAGAGACTTTGGTGATCTGCTCCCATAAAGATTGTGGAATCCCTGTGGGGCAGGTCTGCTCTGCCCAGGGTCACTATGCGTCTGAATCACCATGTGTGCAGAGCGCCATCCTGGTACATCCAGGATAGAACGAGGCAGGTAGGACCCCTGCTCTCCTGGTGCCCACATCGTAGTCCTCACACAGGGCACGCAAGCCATCACCGAAATGAACAAGGAGTCGTGCCATGATCCTTGTGGTCCTGAACCAAATGTTTCTTAAATCTGGAGTTGTACCCAGGATGAGCAGTGCGCGTGTGCTCAGCAATGTGCACCATTGGCCCGCTGAGCCCTCCAGCATCCTCCGTGTGCAGCTGACGCGAGGAGAGGTCGAAGGAGCCCTTCCTGGTGGCGGAGTGGTTCCGCGTTGGGCCGCTAACTGCAAGGTCAGCAGTTTGAAACCACCAGCTGCACCGCACCGCAAGAGAAAGAAAGATGAGGCTTTCTACTCCCATAGAGAGTTACGGTCTCTGAGACGCACAGGGGCGGTGCCTCCCTGTCCTAAAGGGTGGCCAGGAGTCGCAGTCGGCCCATGGCAGTGAAATACAGCTGGGGAGCAGGGTTGGTGGGGGTGTGGAGGTTCGCTTAACGCTCTCCTGTGGAGCAGCTTCGGTGGAGCTTCCGGATGGAGATGGACTAGGAAGAGCCCGGAGAGTCACTTCTGAAAGGCAGCCAGAGAAAGCCCACGAACCACAATCATTCAAGCCACAGCAGATCATGGCGCTGACTTGGCAGCCTTCCATTCCATTGGGCATGGGGCTGCGGCCGTGGGTCGGGGCCACACTGATGACCGTGAACCGCAGCAGTAGCCACAGCAGGTGCATCTTGGAGGACACGCACTAACAGTTCATGGAGAGCTGACTTTCAAACTGGGGTCTCTGGGGCTGTCACCCCTCCACTGGGATACTGATGAACCGGGCAGGTGGCATGCCCTCCCCCAACTCTAAATTCACTGCAGGGAGCTAATTCCTACTCTTCACGATCCTATGGGACAGTGGGACTGGCCCTCTGGGTCCCCAAACTGTAACTTTACGGGAGTAGAAAGCCTCCTCTTTCTTCCTCAGAGTAGTGGGTGGGTTCAAATTGCTGACTTTGCTGTGAGCCGCCAAAGCGTAACCCAGCACGCAGACACTTTCCCACAGACCGCATGGCCTGCCAAGTGCAATGAAGGGGGACTGAGGGCCGGGGCAGCATGAAGTGTTGCCCTGTTTTCACAAGAGGCTGGTACGAGGGCCACCGCCCAGAAGGGCCTGCAAAGCAGGGACCTGAAGATACACAGGAGTTGGTTTGCTGGCCCAAGGGGAGTGAGTGCAGAGTATGGCGGCCTGAGGAACAACCCACACAGAGGCAGATAAGCTGGAGAAAGGGGCATGCGGTGCGGCTGGGGACGCACTGGGGCAGAGTGGTCAGGGTCAGGTTAGACAGCCAGGGAGGCCAGCCTGTGCAGAGAGCGCTGCAGGCCTTTCTGCAGGAGCAGTTAGACGTGGGGGTGACTTGGTCTTCTCTAAGACTCCCACTGGCTGCTGGTGAAGAACGAATTACACAGGGACAGCCCCCCGCCTGCGCCCCCAGTTAATGTAGGAGGACCAGTTTGGCCACGTGTTTCACCAAGCAGGAGGTGCTGGTGGTTTGGGCCAGAGTGGCGACCATAGAAATGGAGAGAGAGGTGTGTGACTGGACCTGAGAGCTTGGGCGGGCAGTGGAGGGGGGTGCGGAAACTGGCCACGTCTGAAAAGCGTTTGGATGTGAAGGAGGAGGTGGGAGGGGAGGGTTGGAGAGTGCCACCTGGGTGTCTGGCGTGGGCTAATGAGTGGCTTGGCCATATCACTTATAGAGTCAGAGAGCGCAGGGTAGGGGTGGGCTTGGGGATGGGGGGAGGATGACTTCAAGAATAAGTGTGAAGTCATCGTTCCCAGGGGACATCTGAGTGGCACTTAGAAGGTTGTGCAATGAGAAACAGAGAGAGCTGGCTGCATGTGCAGGCCTTAGAGTGTATACGGTCATGTTGGAAGCCAGGAGTGGGAGACTGAGGAAAAGACAAGGAGAAAGATGAGATTTTCTACTCCCGTAAAGAGTCACCATCTCAGAAACTCACAGGGGCAGTTCTACCCTGTCGTCTGGGGCCACTGAGCGTGGGCATCGACCCAATGGCAGTGAGTGAAGGAAGAGACAGGCAGTCACTGAGTAGCACAAGTGGCTAAGCCCTCAACTAGCAAAGGTTGGCAGTTCAAATCCACCCAGAGACACCACTGAAGAGAGGCCTGGTGATCCACTTCCGGAATCTCCTAGCATAAACGCACTGTGGAGCAGTCCTGCCCTCTGGCACAAGGCCACCCGGGGCAGGAGCAACATAGTAACCACTGGGTTTCTTTTTGTTAGCTACTTTTTGTGATTATCTGAAGTAAGAGAGAGACACACACACACACCCCTAGCCCCTGGCTCCACTGTGCACCTACCTACCCTGTCCAGCCGGGTAGCTGCCTGTGGTTGTTTCTACTTTGATTTTTAAACGAAATGAAATTCAACATTCTATTTCTATATCACCCCGGTTGGTCAAGGTTCAAGTGCTCAGTAGCCATAAGGCTCACACTCCAAATTCACTGCCATCAAGTCAGCTCTGACTCACAGCGACCCTATAGCACAGGGTGGATGAGCCCCTGTGTGTTTCTGAGACTACCTCTTTATGGGAGTAGAAAGCCTCGTCTTTCTCCCATGGAGCGCCTGGGGGGTTTGAACTGCTGACCTTGCAGTTAGCAGCCCAATGCACAACCACTACACCACCAGGGCACCCCAGCCATCTAACTAGTGATTCCAATAAAGGCCCAGGATCTCGGGGGCGGGGGGGTGGTGCAATTCTAGAGATGGGAGAACTTTAAAAACAAGTAGACTGAGCTCTGTACTACTCTGGAAGAAATCCCACGTGCCCCAGGGCCCTTGGCTGGTACAGCCCCACCAGAGGGATGACCGTGGCCACGTCAGACCCCTCAAGCCCGAGGAAGCTTGTTTGCTCTGTGTGTCTCTCGGACCTCACTCACTCTTGTCTCTTGGTCCCGTGGACACTCACAGTGGCTAGCCACGTGAACTGGTGACACTTTGGAGAGCGCAGTTCAAAAGTTGTTGTTAGCTACCGGGAGGACACCATCTCCTGGAGACCCCGTGCACAATAGAAGGATCTCTGACCCGTCCCTGTGCCCTCCTCACTGTCACGTGCGGTTGGGGCCATGGTGACCCAGAGGGGTTTCCCGGCTGGGTTTTGAGCAGCATATTTCCAGGCCCTTCTTCTTGATCTTCGTCTAGAACCGCTGCAGAAACCGGGGTAGCATCCCAGCAGTCTCCACCGACCGGTGGGTGGGTGGCTCCTGGTGGCTCGTAAAGGGGAGCGGCCGGGACTCCTGGGAGGAAGGTGAGAATTCTACCCCTGGACGCCAGTGACGTGAAGCGTTTCCCCAGAAAATGGGGTTTGAAGCTGTTCGTTTCCGAAGTGGGTCAGGAAGTGCCGTGAGGGTTCAGAGGGGTTTTGTGATCTCTGCCGTCACTGCTCGTGTTTCTAACCATCGTGCGTGCCTTTTGCTCTTGATTTTCTTTTGCAGTCGGATGTCATGGATCAGAATTTGTTAAATTTCCTTCCAGAACAAGAACATTCAGAAGTTTATAAAATGCTCTCTTCCCATATGCTCGTGACAGATTCCGCCTCCCCAGAATACTTAAAATGTAAGTTGTGCTTTACTGGTTTTAACCAGGCAGCTCGAGAGATACGATTTTCACTTGTGAAAAGAGGTTGCTCTGAATGAAGGAGGGAGGACTAATTCTATCAGAATAATTTTCCGGATGACTCAGAACGCTTGCAAGATCCTTGGGGGCGCATTTTCCTCTTAAAGCTAAAACTGGAGCTTGGGCCGTGAAAGACACGGAGCTTCTTCTGGTGACGCTTGCAAAGCCTGAAGTTTAAGAATAACGGGCATAACGGCATTTTTTGCACGCATGACAGGAGCTGTTGTTGTTGTTGTTTAACGTGAGCGTCTCTTTGTAATAAAATGATGCAAAAACCAGGGAACAGTCTGCTGATCTTGTGGGACAAAAATAAGCCTAGATTTGGATAATGCCAACGATCTAACTGAAAGCTGAATAAATAGGTCAAACATCCAAACGCTGCCCTCCTCGGGCTGTCATCTGGTTATTTATGGAATTTCTATGCGTGCTTTATGTAATGTCTAAGTTCGGTTTCAAAATCCCTGGCAGCCAGGAGAGGAGGCTGGCCTCGGTGCCTAATGAAGCGGGTGTCACTCGATGAGGCAGATCAAGTGATGCGCACAGGTGCTAGCAACGGTGCCGTGTGCCTGTTCGAGCCTCGGTTCGCGTTCTGGGCGTCATTTCAGCATGTGCCCCTGCCGCGCATCTGATATTTCTTCCAAGCAAGGCAGAACAGGCAAAAAGAGAAAAAGATTGAGTTAAAGAGAGCGGCGCCTTCTGCATAGTTTTATTTTAACATACCATATGAACATAAGCAGAACTAATCGGTGCTGACATAGCCAACCACTGACATCTGTGAGCAAATTAAGACTGATTGGGTCCAAATATGGACTGCAAGATGCCTCTGAGCCACCGAGAGAACCTTGTGCTATAGAAGGTCCAAATCCGCCCGGCAAGTTCGTCATGAGGAGCAGCATCTCCTGGCGGCAGACACTGAGCCCCTGTAAGAATGCTCACAAAGACACGCTGCTTGTTTAGTCTGGAATCTGTGTAACGCTTACATTTCTCCCTTCTCTCTCTTTAATGGTCCAGCTGACAACGATTTAGAATTTTATTGCCATCTTCTCAGAGGCAGTCTGAACCCAAAGGAATTTCCAACTTATGAATACATAAAATTTGTGGGAAATTTTCGCTCTTACAATGGTAAGCTTTAATTGTCTTATAATTGCCACGGGGTCTTTCATTGTGCAACTGTGGGGGGGGGATGCGTGTGGCGGAGGGAGGGCGAAGGAGGGGGTGTGTTTTTCCCCCTCTGCATTTGGCTCCTCATGTTCCCCAGAGGAAGGTTTGTGCTCGGAAGCATTCTCCTCTGTCCCCAAAGTCCACA